AGTCCCAGCCAGAACTGTAATCTTAGACAGAGCTTACACTGCTACCTGTCTCCAGTTGCAGTGACTATATGTACCATTTATGTACTCATAAAGATATTCTGCTGACACAGTAAGAATAAGCAGGATCAGAAAACATTTGTGTGTTCTTTGATAACTGTACTTGAAAAATGAATTTAGCTCCTACTTAGAGAAAATCTGCTGAGCTTAATAGTTCATACCCAGTGAAGGTAGATTTAGTGTTTGTAACCAAGCGTGAGTAGAAGTATTTTAAATGAGTATGTGACCATAATAGTGGATCACTTCAAAGGGATTGCAGCAGATGTGTTCAAGGGTTTCAGAACAGCCATGAGCTTTCAGCAAAGAAGTTTAGTTTGTCACTATGTCACAAATATTTAAACAAATTCTCTGAACCCCGGATATATTACTTATTCACCGAAAACATCCTCTTTGAGATGATGCCAAAGGGGAGCAGATGGAGTAGAGCAGCCAGCAGGCAATGCTTGATTCCGTGTTGTTACAGTTGCCTGGGAACCATCTGAAACTTGACAGAAAACCTAAAGGATTTGGATGAGTACGCAGTAACATCAGCTTGGCCCTGGGTGTAGAGTAGGTGTTGTCACAACTTCTCACAACTTTGAAGCAGGCTGTATCTCTTTTCAGGCTTGCTTTGTCAGGGCCCTCTCATGAGATAAGTGCTCACAAGGACTTCAGGTAAGATAATAGCATGAGCAGTTAAAATTTCAATGATTTTTTTTTTTTTTTTTTTTTTTAAGCAAATGAATGCCCAGTCAAATTTCACGTGGTTGAGCAGTAATCCTCAGAAAAACAGTTAAATGTGTCTGACCAAAAGGAATGAAGTTCTGCTTTCCACACGTTTGAGCATACATGGCAGTTTTCAGGATAAGGGCTTTGTATTTTAGATCTGTGGTAGGCTTCAGAGTAGCTTTTGTAAACTAGAATGTTGAATGAGCCTTCTGAGCATTAAACCAAGAAGGAAATGAATTATCTGGTCAGGCCACTGAAGGAAAAAGCTCAGGAGTGTGACTATTGCCAGAGACAGCATCTCAGCTAGTGCTGATGTTAACCATGCAATTATTTGTGATTCAGGATATACGTCCCAGGATGCTTGTCTAGCACCCAAAATGGTGACACAGATTTTCTGAAAATCCACACTAGATAAAGACATGATGATTCATAATTGTTAGAACAGTTGACTTTCCTGTAGTCTGTTAACGTTATTTTTTCTAAGATCAGGTTTCAGTGAGTATGAAAAAGCTCTCTGTTCTCCCACATATACAGGGAAATAAATTTAATGTTCAGAGTTTGTTCTTGCAGACTGTTAAGTATTGATACGGTATTAATACCGGATAGGATGAGGTTCTTAATACTGATAGGATGAGGTTCTTTGGTTCTTCTTTTTCATGAGGTTGGTATATGTTTTTTAAAAGGAATTTGTATTTTGATGAGAAGTCATAATGTATTTGGTTATTCCAGTTTCAGTCTGTGCTGTTTATGCGTTGAAAAGATAGATGTTCTTGGTAAGTTTACTGTAAGTTTAGGGAGATATAATTTGGATGTATACCCAGCCTGGTATATTAACCTATCAAACCATTAATAAAAATGAACTACACACAGCTATGTGGATTGAAGAGTGACAGACTTTTCTCAGGCAGTTGGAGACTTGTAAGCAGTTGTGTAGCTGTATTGCCAAAAAGACAGGTGTATCAGCAGAACCTGGCATACTGCATTGCATGGCTCCAGCTCACATTCAGCCCCACTCTGCATCTCCTTCTTGTCAGCTTGTATTTGTCAAGTATTCCTGCAGCTTAGCTGCCTTTCATTGCAGATTGCAATGGGGCTTTTATGACCTTCAGCTGTGTAAGTGCATTTATGCTAGACTTACGCTTTCAGAAAGGCTGTCGATCTCTCCCTTCAGTGTTTTCTTGTATATCTCCATGTTCCTTTCCAGAAATGTATAAGACACATTTTGCATGTAGAAACAGACCTCAAGTTTGAACGTAGAAATCTACACAGATTTTGAAGATGAAGTAAGAGAACTAAACATAAAATATTAGGGACCATAAAGTTAAGGTTGTCATTTGACCTTGTCTTCCTCAGCTTGTCCTTGTCCTCCTGTCAAGTAGGCTGTTAGGTTAGAATTCTGTTAGAATTTGCTACTTGCAGCCATTTATCCGTTATTTTTTGGATATTCAGAAACCACCGACTCTTTTCGTTGCAAGTGTTCCACAATTCCAGTTTATTCTGGATGAAGTATTCAGTGCATATGTTGGAGACATAATGTCTGACACACATCTGGCTGACTTTGAAAAGAAAACATGCCTAGTTTATTTCATTTTATTAAAAAAATTTTGAGGCAGAAGGTTTTGCTCTGAAATATTTTGTGATTTCTCTGCTGTTGGAATTCTGGTTTTGTATCTGCTTTTGTTGTTTCAGAACAGAACAGTAGATGTATCATTTTCTTCATAGCATATCCTACAGATTAGAAATTCTAGTTTTCATCTCTCTTATCAGATAAGTCAATGCAGAAATCTGGAAAGCAGAATCATTAATAATCAAGTGAATATCCATACATACTCAAGGGAAGCTGATTAACTATGTGTTAATCACCTTCTGGTTTGGGTTTTCCAAAGTCCAGAATGCTTTACTATACAATCTGATACTCATTTGCTAAAGAGTCATCTTATGAAAGCTCTTATTTTCTAGAGAGAAAAATAAATGTATATATTTTCCAACAGGAAAACTTCAACAAAGTTCTTCAACAAAGGCAATTGCTTTTTTGGCAGTAAAGCCATAGAGCTCTGCTGTACTTAAATGTTCCCCTAAATGGAATTTTTATGATGTCCAACTAAAACAGAATTGTGTCCGCGGAGTTGGTCATAGGCATAATATCTTCACTCTGTATTAGTGAATGTTCTTCCTTAACAGACTCATTTGACTTTTTGGGAATTATCTCCATAACTAGAACGTGTTCACACATTTTCAGTGCTTGGTTGTAATACTAGGGGAATCAAGAACAAATTAGCTTTTAATTTTTGATTTTCTATTAATCAAAAAATTCCAAACTGCAGGGTGTGGCAAGTTGCCTGATCCATCCTGTGGTCTTGGCCTCACTTTGTAGTTTCCAGATGCTTCTTAAGGCTTCCAGACCTCTCAGGGCCAAGAAGGACCTAGCAGCCATGTGGAATTCCCTTGCTTATGGGAATGGCTGGAGTACACTAAATATTTCCTTTTGCTATTTTTCTGTAAGTAATTGCCACAGGCAGCTTAAGCAGTTCTGAGTGGGTAGAGAGATGAACCATAAGACTGTGAAAGGAGAGGGGAGGTTTTTGTGAGAATGTGTAGTCCATGTGATGGGAATGTTTGGCAACTGCCAACTTGAGCATAAAGTGGACAGCAGCTTGTGGCCTGCTGTAACTCTTGTGTATCCACCAACTTCTATTGGTATGGAGCCAACTCAGCTCATGCTTGTTGCAGCTTTATCAATAAATAATAGCATACTAGTGCCCACAATCAGGGAATGAATAAAACTCATTTTTCTTGGGTTTTCTCATTGCATTCTATTAATTTCAGATGGTTTTCACCTAGAATGCCCGCAGTGCATAAAGAGCTGTGCTCACAGTTGCTTGCTTGTTCGTTGTTTTTTGTTTTGTTTTCTCCCTCCCACTCTCATATGCATACTAACTGAAGAGAGAAGCTTGACCAGACCGATTTTTTCTAGACAGTTCCTGGAAATGCCAGAAGCTCATTTGATCACCTAGACTGTCTCAACTTCCAACATGATGATATTTTTGTTTGCTAGAATCTCCAGTGCAGCTAGCTATTGGGCTGGGACCCTGGCTTGTGGGCAGACCTTGCTGAGCTGTGGGCTAAGAACAGTGGACACGTGATTAGATGGGCCTTTGGGAAGGGTCCTTGGAAAATGAGAGAAGCAACTTGACTCCTGTACCACGCTCTAGTTGCTAATTTTGAGACTATATAAATAATAGTTTTGGCCTGAGTTGTTCAAGGCTAAACTTGTTACTTGAAAGATGTTGTGGACAAATGTGAACTTGCAGACAGGTAATTGATAGGATGGTGGACAGGAGTGAAGTCAATTCTACCAAAGCAGAGTCACTAAATTTGTCTGCTGAAGTTAGAAAGTGACCTTCTAGATTAACTTATCTGGAAATCTTGATCCGTCGCAAGTACCTACCATCTGCTGTGCTGAAGCTAAATCCAGCAAGAATCATGAGTCAGAGCCTTCAGTCGTTGTCAATTACAGAATTTGAAATAAATCATGGCTTATATTAGTATACAGAAAATAGAGTGACTGAGGATAGATGTTGATGTAAAGCAGCAAAGTAACATTTTAGCAATAAATCTTAGCATAAATCTGAATTGCCTTCTGGTGCTTTCACTGGTAAAGATGCCATAAAGTTTAGATTGCACCTTTTTCACTATTTACCTGGACAGCTAAGTCAAGCTGATGTGAATACTCTCAGTATGTAATCCAGCCTTGCTCTATTACACACAACAGACATATCTTCATGTGTTTATATTTTCACAATTCAGTGTGTTCATAGTATTGTGAAAAGACCACAGTGTTTCTCAAACAGAAATTAGCATGATGACATTGTGATTTGATAATTAAAATACACAAAGGTGTAGTCCTCAGAGAGGGGGCAAAGAAAGCTACTAGTTCAGTTTCTGCAGTGTAGCAGGTTTTTTAATAGTAAATGTGTGCTGGATAGTCAGAAAAGAGACGCTCAGCTGATTTGGAGCAACTGTACTGATTTCAGATTTTATTTCTCTACTTTGGTCTCTTCAAGAAATTGCTTCCATTTGTTGCAGGAGGCAGGTGAAGAGATTGACACTGCTTTATATGGGTATATTATTGTATATTGTAAGCATTTATATAAATGGACACTTGCACAATACTGTGTTTTCTTAAAAAAATATGATAAACCTGTGTATTATTACCTTCCTTCTTTTCTTTCCAGATCAATGCAATCCGATCAGTTGTTCCAAACAAAAGCAATAATGAAATAGTTCTGGTGCTGCAGCAGTTTGATAACAATGTAGACAAGGCTGTCCAGGCTTTCATAGATGGTAAGTACAGTACTTTTTTCCACTAAGGCATGAGGGATTTAACTACAAGCTGAAATATTCATTGCCTATAGTGTGTATATTTGTTGTTCTTCTGAAATTCATATAATTGTGACTCTGCCAGTTCCTTCTTTATAGTTCATCCTGCTGTCTGCATGTTTGTTTCTTCACAGCATGAGCTTGACCTGGTTGTTCATCTGTTGTCCTGGAGGGTTTTTTTAGTGTAATTCTTGTTGCAGACCTTATTTTTCTAATGAAAAATAATGCTCTGTAAAGTGTGTAAGCCGTAAGATGATTCACTGCTGGAGACAGGCTGCTAATGGAAATTGAGGATAGTTCTGAAGCAGATAACTGGGCCCACAAACGCCTGGACTCGATGTATACCTTGACATTCAAGCCTCAATCTAAATTTTGCAAATAGTTTTGATATTTGTACTGGCTGAACCAAGACTCCATTGAAAGTTTGAGGTGCTCAAAATCTTTATCTGGCTTTGTATTTTGCATCATTACGCTAGCTGTAGTGAAAGGTCACTTGTATTTAAATAACACTTTTCTGGGAAGTACATAATGGCAAGAATTTTGAACTTCCCCAGTCTGTAAGAAACCCTTTGTAGGAATACTGGTGTAACGTGAGGAAGTCCTCTCAAAATTCTGTGGTTTGAGGGTGCTTTTAGAAGATCAGAGTTTCAAAAGCCCTATACATCTTAAAAAACAAATCAACACTGTGAGGCTGCTTATATGGCCTGGTGATACCAAAACATTAGGGAATCATTATGAGTTATCTCACCAAGCTGCTTATTTCAGAGCTATTTTGGTTCAGAATAGTTTTGATTTTAGTTTGAATTTATTTACTGGAATGTATCTGTCAAAAAGTATCATGTACTAAGAATTATATATAAATATGTAGAAAGCAGATGTGAGCAAACTAATCATAAATGCATCAAAATCCTATTCCAAAAGTTAATGCTTCCTGTTTTACAGTGTTCGCCCATAGTGTCAGAGGCAAATCTCGGTGGTGTGACATTAGAGGTTGAATCTTCCCACCAGTATCCCATTACACTTGGTTGCTATGTGACAGGTGGCAGCAGAGGAGCAATCTGACAAAATGGTGGTGTCTGACATGGAAGTGTGGATGAAGCAAAGGTGTGTCACTGAATTCCTCCATGTGGAGAAAATGGCACCCGCTGACATTCAGTGACACTTGCTGAACATTTATGAAGACCAAACAGTGGTTGTGACAACAGTGGAAGTTGGACTGTGTAGACAAAGTTTTTCTCACAGAAATGCTGTTGTAGCAGTTGGGAAACAGTGAGCCACGTCTGCTGGTGCAGATTTTTATGAGCACGGTGGGCTCTTGTTCATTGCTGGTGAAAATGCATAGATGATGCTTGCAACTGTTGAAAAATAGTTTTGTAGCTGAGAATTTGCACTATCAAATAGTGTTACTGTACTCTTTATAGCTGTTGGAGTTTCCATGGAAATAAATAGGAGGCATTACTTTTGGAGTGACATGCATATTTCTCCCTTTTTTTGTCAACACAAATATCTTACGTGTATTGAGGGAAAATAAGTGCTTTCCTATCCGCACGTTGTCCTAGCTATGAGGAACAAATGGTAAAAGTAAGCCTTCTAAGAGAGATTTAAAACTAAAAATTCTTGAAAAAGAACTACTAAGGTGATGTAACTCACCTCTAAATGGCCTTCCTTTGAATTTTATTAGTTGATCATCATTATGTCTTGAGTTGAGAAGTCTTTTCAAGTTGAGCGTTTGGAAACAGACTATATTTGCCACTGGAAACAGTGCCCTCATTTCAAAGACAGAAGTCTGGATTTGTTTAAGCACCAAATGGCACCAGGGAAGTGTGTCCATTCAGCTGCTACTGTGAATAGAATGAATATAGATAGCTCTTTAAGTCATATTTTCATGTGAATGACAAAATGCCAAGATTTAAATATCTCACAATCACAGGGAACCTACTGGTACATACAGCATATGACGTGGGGACAGCCATTTAATGCTGCATGCTGAATCAGTGTTCAAATTTAGTTTTCTGAGGTCATCTCCTATCATTCTTTGTGTCTGGAGTGACATATGTATATTGTATATTATGAATTTGCATATTTATGTGAAATGTGAGTTTTAAAGCAGTAGTTAAAATGTCATCTTTGTTGTGTAAGCATTTACCTAAATGGGCTTAAACACAAGTTATGTACAGCTCCATTGTAGACGTATTCAAGTAAGTTATTCTCATGCATTGCAGTAATGGTTTTGGAACTTGCAAGGGTAGTGCATTTCCAACAGGGAGAGCATTGGAGTTGGTTGTGCCAGTCCCTGAAGTAATGCTAACTGCTCAGTACTCACAGGGCAACTGAGAGAAGTAGGACGAAGGTAATGCCAGCCAACACAAAAAGCACTGGATGCTACTGTGGAAACAGCTAACAAAGCTGTCAAGTGAAACTGCACGTGTTCAGCAGCGTGGAGTTATGAAGGCAGCAACTGTGGTTTTATTTCATCATAGTGGAACAGCTTCTATTAAAGATAGCATACTTTTAAGAAAGGACCAAGGGATTTGTGTATGTGTATATACTGTGTGTATGTGTGTGTGTATATATATATGTATGCACACACATATATATATAATTACATATAACTAAATATATATATTTATTATAATAATAATATATAATTATATATAACTAAATATAGATAAATAACTACATATACAATGGAAACTTTCTTAACCTTCTGTCTGCACTGTTGTGTCGTTTGGGAAGCGAAGTTTGACTTGGGATTCCGTGTGTGTGTGTGTGTGTGTGTGTGTGTGTGTGTGTGTGTGTGTTCACAGTTTAACAAATCAGACTTAGCACTGCTGCAAACAGATACAACCACTTCCCATGTGTATGAGGGACTCACCAAATAATCTTACATCTGGATTATTTGAATAGAAAAATAATTTTGATGCATTTGAAAACCTTGCATGTTTTTGTCAGAATACAAGTTGACCACTTATGGCAGTCTTCTTAACATTGATGTCACCTGAAACGAGCAAAAGAATAGCAGTATATAAACCAATTTGCACAGAATGGTAAATAAGTATTTACTAGAAAAATGGACTCTCAAATTCACACAGAAAAGTTCTAACTTGGTGTGATTAAGATTGTTGACACTGCCTGTAACATGCTGGATGCCAGGGCAGGCTGCGTGCTTCCATGAGTGGGTTTTTAGCTTTAGAATCAAGGAAAACGCACCAGTGGCAACAGGATGTAGAAGAGTTTTCTTCCCAAGTGCCAACTGCAGCTGATCTGACCAAGGCTGTTTTCACTTTGTTCTGAAAATTTTATCTAACCGAACACTGTTGCATCTGACAACAGACTGGCAGACAAAACTTCAGGTATACAAAATCATATTTGTTTTCAGTATGATTAATGGCTTTTACTGCCAGGCCTGTGTATGGACCAAAGGATGCACGGTTTCTGCAGCTGACTACAAGATTATGTTTTTATATGCTAATTAAATCTTCAGTTTTATGCTCTTGGGCTTCCTGAATATGGCAGATAATGTGGAGGAAACATCTTCCAGAACGCCAAAAGATTTAAAACTGTGAAGAAGCTTGAGAAGCAGGGGAACCTAGTTTATGCAGTGTGTTGTGGGGTGCTGAGATACTTTTCTTTCAGATAAAATATTGATTTTCAAAAAATTATTTTCTGAAGCTTGTGCTATTGCATTAAGTTAAGCACCCACTTAATTACTTCGTGTAAGGAAGAGCATAAACAGCAGCAGTGCCAAATAGCTTATCCACAGTGTAATCAGCTAAGATGAAAGTGAAAAGGAGGGAGGCAGCAGTTCTCCTTTTGTTTTCCCAACATTAGTAAACTCACAGAAACAAACAAGTGCTGCCTGGCTAGGAAACTGGTAACTGTTTCCAAATACAAATTTTCTTTCTCAGATCTGAACTTTTGTTGAAATGATTTCTCTCTCTTTTCTCTAGGTAGTGCAACTCAGGTTCTGAAAGAATGGAATATGACAGGGAAAAAGAAGGTAAAGACTTGCTCTGGAAAATCAGAGCACTCAGACCATTTACAAGCTGTTTGTAAGCGAATGTAATAGTTTCATTTTGGCCAGTACTTTTTCTGCCTTTGCTAACGTAGGTGACTTCATCTATGCTTCCATTCAGAATACCTGAGAGCAAACGTGTGCGTTGTTTTTCGTCTTGTTCATCTGTTGCTGTTTCTGTAGTGCAGAGTTCTGAGTTTCTGGAACAGCACATTTGTAAGTGTTTGTAGAAGCCAGACTCTGGTCAAGTACAGAATAAATTCCCAAGCAGCCTACTTTTAATACGCAGTTGTGTCCTGGAGAGTCGCAGCCACTTGGTGCTAGAGGTTTTGCTCCTGGATGTAAGAGTAACATATGCATAGGAGTAATCAATTAGGAGTGTGCACTAGGGCTGCTCCCAGGTCACACATTTCAAGAAAATGTTTAAGATACATATACAGTATGCTAAGTGGCAGCCCAGGGAGTCACTGTTCTGGAGGCTCCACTTTATGGGTTGGACAGTTACAGCAGCAGTGGCTAACCTCTGTCTTCTGCTCCTATTCTTCCAGATAAGAGGGATGCCTTCAGGGATTGTCCATGTTACTTAGTGGGTGTCCCCAGGGTGGTTAGGAACTATTTGAGCATCATTGAAGCCCAGGCTCTTTTACCATTTTGCAGTGTAACTGTTCTGTTTAGAAGAAAGAGGAAAAACAGTATGGGTCTTCTGTTCGTATTTGAAACTATATTTTCAGCTGAACAGATGCAGTGGTGTGCTGTATAATGCACTGTATGTAAATTGCATTGTAGTGAGTGACACTTACATGGCATTTTAAGAATATTGACCATTTGGTATTTATATGGTCTCTGTTATATATTGGGTTTTTGAGCTGCTCTGAGTAATGTCTGTTCTTTCAATATTTCTCAATTTAGAATAATAGGAGAAAAAGAAGCAAATCTAAACAGCACCAAGGCAACAAGGATGCTAAAAATAAGAGTGATGGGTCTGAGAAGGCATCTCAAGACCCCCAGAGACCACCTGTCTGCCATCTGAATGGATGCTCTAAGGATAACCGTTGTGGTGATTCTGCCAATGAGAAACTGGAAACCTCTTCTCTGGAGAACAAAAGTTCACAATTTGTAGCATCAGCACCAGGCTGTCCAGAAACCACAGGTCAGTTCATCTGGGACAAAGGCACCTTTTAATTGGCAACAGATAAGCCTATTTACATAAGGATCATAATTTTTGCTGTTACCAAGTGAACATAATAAATGGATATCAGAGAGTGATGTTTGTGGAAAATATATGTATTTGTTCAATCTGTGCCTGTAGAGCTATGTCTCGGCATGGTTTGTCTTGCAACAAGTATCCTTGCAAAATATCTTTTTTTTTTTTTTTTTTTTTTTTTTCTTTTCTTCTTTAGAGCCAAAAGTTTAAACTGCAATCCGAGAGGTACAGCTGATGCAGAGTATGACAGATAAAAATACAGGAGAATACAGGGTTTGAAAATGGCTTTGGTATAAGATGGTGACAGAAGTAATCAGGTTCTTCATGTGGGACAAAGTAATCCAGGCATTATGGGCCCGCTGCACGTTGTGAAATTTCTTTATTGCCTAGTCCAGACTCGTCCTTTTTTTTATCTCATCTCCCCTCAATAGGTTAGTCAACATGGATCTCCACTGATTTTCCCTTATAGGGAAAGGAGGGCCTTAGTGTTGAAGGAGCGTGATCTGATAGTTGCTGAGTATGCATGCATTTCTGCTAGGGTCTAGATACTGAATCAGAAGCTCTGGGGAGCAGTAACACAAAGTTCTTCCTTGCTGAGTTCTAGTAGGCACAGAATTACTGTTTATGATAATACCAATGAAAACAAACCTCTGCAGGAGCAGCTCTATGAAAGGTCAATTAAATAAAATCTCTGCAATGCATAGCAGCCAAATTGCGGAACTACTTATCAAGACATTTTGTCTGAAGAAGTGTTTGGGAGGTCAGAGATAATCCTTGCCCTTGCTGAGGACTCATGCTTATTTTGGATACGACATGCCACAAGCCAGAAAACCCTGCAGTTCCATGATATTAAAAGAATTTTTACTGCTAATTCTGCAACATGTATACATTTGTTTATTCTTTTCCTCCAAGTTATATGGTACATATAATCAATCTGTCTTGTCAAATTTGAATCATCCCTGAAGTGTTTTCTAGCAGGGAACAACCTGAATTCAGGAACTCACATAGCTATGCTGTCAGTGATCTTTTTATGTGACAGTGGGGTTGAGTCATCTTTTTTTTCTCTTTGACATGATGCCATTTAGATTTGTACATATTAAGGGCAAGAAGGATCCCAGATTTTTTTTCTTGTTTTTATGAATGTCAAAGATGATACCTACTATCCCAGCTTTTTATAAAGAATTTATAAGATTTTTATGAACTTTTAGGCATGTCCTGACCTAGTAACTGGTCTTTCTAAGAAGAGAGAGAGAGAGATGGAGGAAGAGGAGGGAGGTGGGAGGAGAGAATGGAAAGGAAGTGGAGAGAAAAGAAAGATGAAACTTCAGAAATATTAAAGCTTACTTTATGTGGTAAAATAAATTCCTGGTAACTTGTGTACTACAGAGAAGTTAGGAGATTCTTGAACGCTACCAGATGCATTAGAATTCTGGTCTTGCAGGCAGTTTAGTAGCTACTTTCTTGAGGTCGAAAGGCACAAGAGTATTACTAAATGTGTGCTGAAGTGTGTGGAACTGAAGAGAAGAGTGAACAGGATCTTTCAATTTGCAAACTGTCCCTTCTTGGTTTTTGGGAAGTCAGACTGTGCTGAAGCTTGTCCAGAGAGCAATCGTCTCACATTTTTTCCTTTGGTGTTGCAATCTCTTATGTTTTGTTATTGTCAGTCTTGTTTGGTTTTGTTCCTTTCCTATCAGTTTAATGTTACTGTAGACATTTCAGTCTCACCTTCAGACAACTGACACCATAGAAGTACCACAGGTGTCTGCTGACAGCTCCTTATGTTCTCCTCCCCATGAGAAATAGCAGGCTGAAGCCTTGCTTATATCATTTCGCTGACTGAGATTAGGTCCTTCAGAGCCATAAAAGTGTGACTGCCTGAAAGAGTTTGCAGGGACAAGACTGTTGAGTAAGGTTGGTGTTTCCCTGTGATTTGCCACAGTATGATATGAGAGGATGTGTGGATATTACATTTAATTTAGGTCTGCCTATTTATTGATGTTATTCTGTCTCTCTTTGTATTAGATGTCTTCAGTACACTTTTTTTTTTTTGTTTAACGTTTTCATTCAAGGAATCCAAGACCTGCTAGAGAATCTTGTAACTCTGTGTCTTGTACCTTACTGTTTTCTCGCAGGCAAAGAACGTAAGCGTCAGAGAGTGTCTGTGGAGTTAAGCCCAAAGACTGTGAATGGAGTAGAACAGCACGAGCCTCTTCAGTCATCAGTTCAATTCCAGGGTAACCTAGGCAGGCCAAAGTCAAAATCTTCCTCAGTTAAATCATCCAATGCTACAAGCCAACTTGAAACAAAACCAGATGATTCAGTGAAAAAAAGAGGTAAAGCAAGTCTGTTCATGTGGTCACTGTGTAATAAAATGATCAGAAATCTGGTGCCTCTACAGTAAAAAGAATGTGAAGGAGAGATGCCTTGGAAAGTGGGAGTAAAATCACATTCAGTCTAATAAAAATGAGCAGAACAATTTATAGTTGATTTAAAATTATATTGAACTTGAAATGAATAATTTGAACTCTTAGGGCTACTTTGACAGTTATCTAATTTGAGGAATTAATTTGAGTGTGTATATTTAGGAATTTAAGAATATCATAGAAGAACTATGGAAAATATGGGCGTGTGGACTTCAGTGGGCAAATAATGTTGTATTGTTCCTGCTCCCTCATTCAGAAAAGCCAAAACGAGCTTTCTGACTTTTCTGCTATTTTTGTTTGTTGTTTTTTTGTTTTGTTTTGTTTTAGGGCCAAACATTGAAAAATCAGTAAAAGACTTACAGCGTTGCACCGTTTCTCTAACTAGATATCGTATGATGATCAAAGAGGAAGTAGATAATTCAGTTAAGAAGATCAAAGCTGCTTTTGCAGAATTACACAGCTGGTAGGTAACTCAGTTTAAGGTCTCTCAGCACCACCTAAGAGTAAGGGACCAAGCTGTTGGTGTACCTCATTGTCTAACAGAAATAACTTTGTTCTTATCTCTGAGCTAAATGAGCATGGGCTGTAATTGGCAGTTGTACAAAACTGGCTAGTGTTGTCAGGATTGCTCCAAAATTACACTGTTAACGTACAATAATTAAGTGAATTTCATTGTCCATTTGCATTTTTTGTGGTAGCTTGTTGATGCGCTCTCTCAGGATTTTAGAAAACATTCACTGCTTATGCTCAGATGGCTCTGACATTTTATCTGAGTAATCTGACATTTGGGTCTCGTTAGCTGTGTAGTTTCTCTTGTCCTCAATTTTTTTTTTTTTTTTTTTTTTTTTCAACAGTGTTAAAATCATAGTGTGTCATATGCCTAATCTTGTTTGCATGTACTCACAGTTAATTGGAGCTTTAAGAAGTAGTTATTCTGGTTGTGGAATAGGCGATCTCCTGATTGCATGGGGAGTGGATATGTTATTAGATTCAGAACTGAAATTACTCATTTTGTATACATTCATGTTTTAGCCTGAAAAAATATTAAAACGTATCACCTAGTACTGAAATTTGTTATCTTAATAGGTGAGCTTAATAGAAGAAGCGACAAAAAGATTCAAAAGGACCATGTAAAATCAAGTTGACTCAAAATGATAAAAAAATAAGCAAAAAAACTTCATTTAGTTCTGCCTTCTACCAGATCTAGTACTTGAATTGCTATGGTGGAGTCTGTCAGAAGCTCTAGAATGTAACAGACCTGTGCTCCAAATATTCAGGCCTTATGAAGTCATCTTATGTGTGGAGCACAACATTACGTACAACAAGGAGAATGTGATGTGAGGGCATGCTTATGGAAATTTCAGTGTGGATTTTGTTGATTTTAGCTGCATGGAGGTCTAGTATTCAAGTTTTTGTTCAAATACATGAAGGGAAAAATGGTTTAAGCAGCAAAATGTGTTACTTAATTTTTGGTGAAAATTAAAAACAGTTCTTGGATATTTAATGTGACCTTGTGAAACAAATATCTGAAAAAGATGGGAAGAGCTGTCTACAGCACCTAATTTATCAAAACTTGCTTCCACTTGCTATAAACTCCCTACATTCAGGAAAAAATCACTAGATTCAATGATACATTTAGCTTCAGACTTCATATATTCAATAAGGTATTCATGGGCACATGACAGTTTCCCTACTTAAAAGCTCAACAGTACATCATTAGTGGTAGTGTGAGAATAAGATTATTGAGTATTCAGCCACTTGCATATTTGTAACCCTCCTTAGGCATGGGAGTTTCACTGTGGCACAGTCAATTTGTCTGTCAAGGGAAAATGAAGCAATTCAGCTGACTGTGCTCCCAGAATGTTATGCAGTAACCAAAAACAAGGATAGGTAAAGGATAGGGAAGTATGTAACCATGACAGTGATATCTGATCTTTTTTCTGGTAGTGATTACAAAGCTTTTTGAAAGTTCTTGGGGAATCCTGCAACTCACAGCATAAAATACCACAGCATTTTACATGGACACGACCAGGCAGGGACAGTTTGCCTGTCCCTGAGATCTTTTATGTACCCATGTGCATGTGCCTGGCTGGTGTGCTTCTGTGTCCTGGCACTCTTCCTCACCATTTTTGCAAGGACTACTGTGGTGTTGCTTTCCCTAAGGCTAAGAAAGAGATAGGCAACGCAGCCTGAATGGGCACTCTTTCTTGGACTTGTACCTGAAAGTTATGAAGATCATCCTTCTGACAGTCCTGCCTGGGTCAATTTTTCTACTCCATGCAATCAGTCTGAGGGGTGTGGGCATCAGGTGCACCTCTGTATGAGTGAGAATATAAGCTGCCCTGGTTACTGTTTGAAGGCAAAATGTATCGGAGCACAGCCCCATCATACAGTAGGGTAGGACAAGGAAGAGAAGGATAACAAGCTATTGAAGTTGCAGGGAGGATCAGTAAAACTCTGTCAACTCCTCTCTCAATCGTGTTTGAGGCATTTGTTGCCGAGGTTAAAACTCTCATGCTGTAATTGTGTTCTCACTCTTCTACAGAGAGTCTGAGCAGTCACCTTGGGGATAGAAAGAGAGCCCCAGGAAATTTGAGTGAAATGGGTAAAGCACAAATGGAGCCACTATTCTTCATAGCACCTTTTGCCAGCAAATCTGTACATATTGGGCATCCACACAGTCGTATGGAGGACTGAAAAGAAACATCTGCTGCTCGTCCATACAGTCTGCTTCCAACCACAAATGGAAATCACTCTGTAGTGTAGAGAGGGACAGATCTAATTGCTCTGTGTGCAGAACCCGAACAAAGAAAGACAAGTCTATTCTGCTTGTTGCATCTCAAACACTGTGGTATGTCCAGTGGTTTATAAAAAGCAAGAAAACCAGCACCAAGAAAGAGCAAAAAGGGCTTGAAAGCTTCACCATAGTCTGGGTAAAAAATTATCTCTGGTATAATACTGGAAAAGGAAAATGGGCTCTGGCACTGCTAACAATTTAAAAATATATTCAGATGCATTCAAGGAAGCATATACTGTGTGTCTGGAGAAGATAAAGCAAGTTTGCTGCTGCTAATTTAGAATAAAAGCAGAGTAGCAGTTAAATGGAGGAAATGTGTCATTTAAAAGGACGTAACAATTCAGTGCCAAGTGATAAGCAATACTGCTGGTGCTCACAAATGCAGAACAGTGTCATCCTCTTACTGGGACCCCTACTTGGTGAACTGTAAAGATTATGGTTTTGTGCTTCCTATAGTCCAGATTCAATGGTGCTGGTTGAAGACCTTTCCTCATTAGAGGTGTTGTAGCATAGAGTATGGGCAGATGCCTGGGAAGGCCAGGGCTGGTATTGTTTTACAGTGAGTTGAGTTTCTGTGCTAGTCCCTGCATTTCCAGGCAGTCCTCATTAGTTTTCTGTCTACGTGTCTGTCCTTCAGCTGACGCTTTGTAGTCCTTATGTGTCTAAAGAGATTTTCAAATCCTCTTGCAGTTCGTTTGCTCATCAGTCATGCAATCCAGTCTTGTAACCTTGTCAGCAGAGAGGAAAAATATTCTACCAAAAGTTTAGGTTTCCTGGAGCCCAGCTTGTTTTCGGGTACCTTTAAAGAGCAGCGCTTCTAGCTAAGCCCCCAGCCTTACTCTCACTTCTTGGGGGGTCTGGAAGGACAGGAGAGTAGCTCTGGCCTGAGGCTGGCCACTTGCCTGCAGAGCTACAGCAGCTGGAGCTTGTGCTTGCTTTTTTCTTGCCGTCTCCAGCAATTTGGGATTACTTTCTTTGGCTTAGTATTAGTGGAGAGAACAGATGGATCTCTTGAAACAGTGAGATTCATCCCCTTCCTGGCCTCCTTAGTCTTTCACAATACTTGCTTAATTCTCATATATATGTATTTTTTACTATACTTGGGAAGGTAGATTTCATTGTCTCATCATACTGTGTGGCTTCATGTCTTTTCTTACTTTTTTTCTTACCTAGTCATTTTTAGGTGTGTGTTTTTCTGCAGAATGCGAGCGCGTGGTTTTTTGGGCTGTGTGCACTAACTGTTGTTTTTGAGCATGTTATTTTGGGGAAAAAAAAAAAAGGAAGTGAATATGCCCTTTCTGATCTCAATGTTGTGTTAAGGAGAAATCTGACTTAATAAATACATGAAGGGAATAATCTCAAAAACGTTAATAGATTCCAAGAGCCAAACGCCTCTCTCTTTTTTGCGACTTTCCAGGATGGGAAAGTTACCTCTCCTGAATATCAGGAGCACAAGTACAGAAACCACAGCCTTCTGCCATCCCAGAATGCATTTTGGCTAACTGTATAAAACCAGTACAATTCTGAGATACCTGTAACTGAATCAGAACTGAGACTCAGACAGGAAAGAAATCCATGATAAATTTATATTAAAACTTCCCAGTTTCTAACAAGCCATGGTGCAACTCGCACAGTTCTTGAAGCTTGGTATAATTCTCAAGTGATGCTTCATTTGTAAATAAACAAAATTTAGAAGTGTTGTTTTACAAGATGCCTTTCCATGTCAGTTATCAAGTTTAAATAAGTTTTTATGATAATAAATTCTTAACTGATTGTAAAGAGATCTACAAAGCAAAATTAAAATAGAGATATAATTATAATGGCTTTATTAGTAACCACTATAGTAGCTGGCTGCTGGAGAGAATAATATTAGCAAAGATAGATATAGAGCAATATATAACAAACTTGAAGAACTGAAATCCGTTGGGGTTCTTTTACTATGACCAGATGGTGCATATGGAGAGGAACAATTCCAGTGAAATTGATTTACTGTCTTTTGTTTAGCTGCTTACAGATCGTGTTTGTGATCAGAATGAAAATTCATGTAATGTGATTTGCTGTGTAAACATTGTGCTTGTTCTAATACAGAGATCAAATAACCTTGAAGGACTGTGAACATTCAAACACAATTGAGCTAATGTTGGAAGAATATTGCTTACTGAGACATTGCAAAACACCTTGTATTGTAAGGACACCTTTTCTTACAGTGTTTAGTGCTATGGAGGAAACTTCATGTATCATTTCCTCTGTCGTGAAATATGGCCATTCAGTATTCCCATGAAGCCTGTAATCACCTGCTACAGGTCCTGAGTGGTTTTCTGTTTCTTTTCATCACGTTGTTTTTATATTTACGTTCTTATCACGTTGTTCTAGTTCTTTGTGCTAACATTTGACAGGCACAGTTCTGGGTTGCTGATTGAAATGTGAGTTCTGTAAAATATGCAGTTCGAGTAGGGATTGTTTTGTGGTTGTCTTTTCACTCCACCTGTGGATCAGGTGTGTTCTGCTGCAAGGGAAATGGGTACATGAAATAAAGGGCAGTGATGAACCATAAGCTAATCAGATCTCCTGGATGGAGTTGAGTATTGCTTGAATTCATGTGTGATCTCAGCTTAGATATAGCTGAGTCCGTGATAGCACTAACTTCTCTCATACTATTTTACAACTTGCTTGAGTTGTCAGCAGATTGTTAGCCAACTCATCTTTAAGGGTGCTACTGGGCTCTGTTCCAAAGCCCACTGCCAGAGCAAATGTCACATTCTCTCCCTCAAGAAAAGACGATTTGAATTCTGTGTTGTGATTTGAGCTCCTCACCTGCTAGACCACCAATGGGTCCTTCCAGATGAAGACCCCTACTTCAGTCCTTCGGAAGGTGACAGCTATGTTTTTCTCAGTCTCAAAAAAAAAAAATTCTCAAGCTGTGTACAAAGATGCTTGTTTTAAGGAAGCAGTGGAGCTTAGTAAGCACCTCTAGGAGAAAACTTACAAATTTCTGGGGCTTAAAAGAGTTTTGAAAGGATAATGTGAATTGCACCTATAACAAACAACTGCTATGCCGTTCATCTCTGTCTGCTATTAGGAGTTGCATCAACATGTTTGCCTCCAAGCCTGCTTAGCCTTTTTATTTTCCTAACTGTTGAGGTGCACTTGGGTTTAGCATGATGTCGGGAAGAGGGAAGAGGAAAAGGGTATTCTGGGTATCGTGAAGCCTCCTGATTCTCATCAATGAGGCTATAAATCTGGCAGTCTGAAACTGTTACTTTTGAAGGAAGACTATTAAAATTCCACTAAAATAATTGAAATTGTGGCGTTGCAGCTGACTGAAAACCCACAAGCGAGTATCTCTTTCACTATACATGCTGTAAATTTCATGCTGCAAACTAGAGAGAGATTAATTTGTTTCCACTAATGTCAGAATAAATTTAGAATTTATTCTGAGTATGAGTGTGGAATGAGGCAGCTGTCAGCATGATTTACCCCAATCATTGCTGAGCTGACAACTTACCACAGTGAGATGTTTGCAGCTCTTCCGCTGTGGCATGCTAGGGTGACTACTGACAGCCCATGTAAGCCCAGGCACGATCAGTGTCCATTTAACAAAGAGCAGGATGCTTAGGCTCTTACTTTTAGAATCCCTTATGTGAAGTGATTCGTAATCAGAGCTATCTCTTCAGTAGCATCTCATATCTTTAAAGCACAAACAATTCCTGATTCTGGCCCAGTTTGCCACATTGGAATGTTCTCTGTGCTAAGACTCTTCGTTGCAGTGCTCCTTTGGTAGTGTTGTCTTCTTCTCAAACTCATGTCAAAATCATCTAGTTACTAAAATCAAACCTGTGCTCCAAGCTATAGATGCTCACCCCTGGTGAACAACTTGCAAGATGCTCTGTGGATAGAAAAGAAATCAAATTGATTTCTACTCAATTTTCTTAATAATTGACCCTTCTGTGAACTAAGAAGAAATGTGGCATTTCCTAGAGCTGGCTGGCTTATGACTTTTCAAAGGAAACTTTAATTTCCTCCATTCCATGATATATGATAGTTTGACTTCCATGCTGAGAAATGTAGCTGTACGCTTCCAGGTGAGAATTAGTATATTCCATTCATAATGTGGAGTGAGAATCTGTGTCCTCAGCTGGAACGAGTTAATACAGCTGTCTTTTCTTCAGGGAAGGCAATCCTATGAAGATCTGTCTGAAGAAACTTTATTTACTACATTAGTAAGTCTGATACTGACAAAGGCACCAGACTTTTCTTTTTTTCTTTATTTCTTTGTATTTTTTTTCTGTCTGTTTGTAACTACAGATTTCGTTGCACTGTTAGTCATCACAGTCCTGACCTCTCCCGCTTAAACTTCCAAATGCTTTCCTGAAATGTTCATCAGAGACCACACTGAAACATTAGGACTGGAAAGCTGTCTAGTAACAGATGAAGTCTGACTATAAAGTATGGGAGATATCATAGCAGTTGTATTGCTTTTATTGTGGTATTAAAAGTGTTTTTACTTGGAGTCCAAATAAAATGTTAGTGGCCAAACTGTTTAACCAGGATGTGTTGTTGGAGTCAGAGGAGGACAATCAGGGAATGACCTGGGCCAAAATACAATTCTGATGAGCTCTGCTATTGTGAGCTTGCTGCTTGAATATTTTTTCCAGCCAAAATTTTATATCACCTGTGGGGGTACATTAGGGAAGCACTTTTGTAACAGAAATAGCAAAAGCAAAAATGTGCAGATTTCTTGAAGATGTAGGAAAGTAATGAAGACCATAACAGTCCTTGTGGAGGATAGATACCAAGTGAGAACTTGCACAACTCACCTCAGTCACCTGCTGTGGAAGCTAAGGAAGTTTATTGTAGCGTGTGGTTACAAAAGATTAACTGAAAACGCTATCTCCATTCAGATTAAAGTTCTGAATTATCATCTGACTTTTTGGAGTTCAAGATTAATGCTTATGACTGGAGAATGCTGTTGGCTTTTGGGAGTCACTGTGAAGGTGGCATAGTTGATTGGTAAAACCTGAGGATAGAACTCTGCAGAACCTTGGTTGCAAACCTCCTGCATGAACTTGGTTAATTTATGGGAAGGTGTTCGAGAAAGCTGCATAGCACTTGAACATGATCATTTCTGGTGAATTTCTGGCTGAGTCAGTTGTGTATCTGCTGTGTGTTGCCTACGCTTCCTGCTCCTTAATCTTGCCCTGTTTCAGTCAACAGCCTTTGCATCCTTCTGTTTACAAGCCTTTTGTCCTTGATTGCTGCCCACTAAACTCCATAGGATCTTTGCTTTCTTGATCTTAAGAAGCACTCTGTTTTCACCAGTATACACTGTGCCATTTTGAAACACAGATTAGGTGCTGAAAGCACATGTGGAATGGCAGATTTTTGTGACATGTTGTTGAGAGATTGTGGGCTGGCTCTTCCTGGCATGCCTGTGTCAGTATGTTATTTTCTGTAGGTATGTATATTTCAGTATGTTATATTCTGGAGATACTGTGTAGTTTGTCTCTGAAAGCAAGCAAATTTCAAATGGCTGTTTTTAGGTCTTGAAGTTCTGGTATCCTCAGCTGGGTGCACAAGTTTGCATTCAAGGCTGATTTTATTGAGCCAAGAACTCCACTAATCCTTTGTGTGTGAGCCTGGATTTTTTTATCAAATACTTGCAGTTTCTCCCCAGCTGCCTGAGTTTACTCACATATGCATCAGAACCATTAACGTTCGAAGTGTTTTTTAGTCATGAATATGGCTAAGAATAATCCTGTGAGGGGAAACTGCTGGGGCGTACCAGTGTGCTACCCACTGGAAAACTGTTGATACTTCACCAAATGATGTTGCTGGAATGGTGATACAAACGTTTTAGCAGACCTGCTCTACTCTCAGTAGTCCCACCTAATCAGTTTGCAATTTAATGACCAGAAGTGCTGTCTGGAGTTGCACACTAGGGGCATGTGAAAGGAAAAGCTTATGAGATCTTCAGAAGGCCCTGCAAAAAGGGGAACCACTCCTTCCCAGTCTTTAGTGGGTGAGGAAGTTGACGTCTCTCATAGAAATACTTCTAGGCTTATTCATATCACAAACTATTTTCTTGCTTACTCTGTCATACTTTGTAAAAATATCTCTATGGCAAGAGAAATAGCCCTTTCCATATGCTTTTATTTCTGTTTTATTGTCAGTACAGCACTGAAATCTAAGCTGTGTTAACCTGAACAGCAGCAGAGGTGTATCTGACTTAATTAGAAAAGGGACTGTTTTGTCATTTGATGACTGCTGGTGCCCAGGCAATGCTGAAGAGGTAAATTGGAGTGACCTCCACATCTGTGCAGGCACACAGGCAGACCAGGGTTAAATTAACATGCACTGATAGTAACTAATTTTTGTAGTGAGTGTGCTATCTTCAGCTTCTACTTTTAAAATCTTTTTTATTTATTACTTCCCATAACTAAGGTCTAAAGTCTTTGTATAGTTGTGCTTTTGATTTGATGGAGTTCTGGCATGGATTAAATGGTGGTTTCATTTTTTTTTTTCCTTCAGCATCATAGACAAAGAAGTGTCGTTAATGGCAGAAATTGACAAAGTTAAAGAAGAAGCCAGTAAGTACACAGCATGTCAGGGAAGTTCTGGTATGGTCATGTAAATACATGTTTTGTTTGGCGGAAAACCACACAATGTATTAATTCTGTTCTCAGCATTCTCTTATTTTTCATTATATGCATATTCTTGAGTGATTAGGGAGAGATTCTCTGTAGTTTCTATTTATAAGATCTGTATAGCAAAGCTTCAGTATTTTAATATTAAGGTAAACCAAAAATTCACATGAAGTTTGATTAAAATTATGTATTTCTTCTACTGACTTAACACAGATTTTTGGTACTCCTGTTTTTCCCTTATTTCTGTGATTTGTTGACTACTTTATTATGGTTTCTTGTTTTCTCAACCATTGTTTTTGCTTGGTTGTCATCTTATATATGTTACAGTGCTGGAAGTTGGTAGAGGAACAGCTTATTCTGATTTTGCATGCCTTTTAGAGAGTAGCAATCATGCTCATGAGTCAGAGCAATAAATCAAAACCCAGATGTTTACTGGAATTTGTGTTCTTAACTGTGGGAGTTGTTCTGACTCCAGGCTTTCATGTCACCTCTATTTCTTACATAGGTATGGTAGGTATATGGTTTGGAGGGGAGAAAAACAATTTGACATGTATTAGCATATCATATTATCTTTCTTATACCCACCAGAGACATAGCATTCATGGATAAGAAAACAAGGGAATATGTTTCTATACAGAAGGCTAAGCATGGAACTAAAGAATAACCCAAGTGGTGTTAGAATGATACTTTGCCTAATGGATTAAAACATTGCTGACGTGTATGCATATAATTCTTCCATTTGTTTGTGAATGTAAGGCCCTTTCAAGGATAGTGTTCCTGAATGCTTCACATGTATTTAGAACTCTTACTGAGTTCACAAATGTATGCTAGTTACATTTAAAAAAAAAAACTATTAAAATCCTCTGTTGCTACTTTAAGTCTCTTATAGTTTTATGCATATGGAGACTAAAAAGAACAAGTAGCTGCTGCAGCAATTGGCTTTAGTTTAGGTTTGGAATTTTGTATACTAGCTTTTCTGATGCTGACCTGTGGAGGAGTTGTGGGTGGAAACGTGCTGTTTACCTGTAAAGACTGCCATAATCAGCTGCAGAGCATGTGCACAATTCCAGGAAAACCAATGGCAGAATTCCTATTGATATCAGCAGACATGGATCCAACTGCATAAACAAAAACACATTTTGAAAATCCACAGTCCAGGGATGATGATATCATGATGGCCACTTCATTAATTTTGGTAAGGGACAGTAGCCATTTTCGTGGAAAGTAAATGTAATTTTTATCTACAGGCTTGTAAGTGCTATATTCATGTATGGTAGGTTTAGTTTCCCTGCTTTCATGCTGACTCAACGCGTGACATTGGGTGGCTTCTGTAACTGTGTAGTTGTCTCTCAAGGCTATTATAGGCCTATAAAGTGACATCAGAACTTTAGGCAGAATGTTCTTGTAGGACTATAACGTTCTAACCAACATTGTTACTTTCACGTCCCTTTGCTGCACTGGAGGACTATTGTAATGTGGGTAATTGTACACTTACTGTCAATACTGAGAAAATTTTCAAACAAGATAATTCCAGTTTTTGTGCAAATGGGTATTTGGCTGGCATCTCACTCCAAGTGTCAGTAGGAAATGAGATTGTATGGTTTGAGCAGTCACTTTAGCAAAGGCAGCAGTGACCTTTGAGAGAAACAGTAGCATCATTACCTAGAATAAACAGTGAAACTATTGGGCAAAGAAAAACAAGTAGTGAATTCTTCATGTAATCTAACAAACATTTATCATTCTTGTTGTTTGCATTCCACAAAAAAGGAAATTAAAGATCAGCTGGAAAGACAGATAAATGCCTGTTCTCAGCAAAAGTAGTAATGTAGGCAGAGGTTTATCAGCAGTTTGAAGGGAGCTGTAGCAACCTCTTCCCTTCCTATAAGCTCTACCTTGTGTGATGCACACTCCTCTGTTGCACAGTGGGGTTGCTCCCATACAGCTGTATAGCCACTACTCTTATCTTCCCTGCACCTACTGGACCATTCTATACTTCCAGAGGAAGCTGCCATCCAGTAAATAAATGCTACTGGGTTGAGAAATAAATTCTTACCCTGCAAAAATGACATCATTAAGTATAAACTGGTTGAGACTTCCCAGGACTGCTCTGGAATTCTATGGCAAATGAAGGCAGGAAAGTCTTAGTATCCGTAATGAAATCTCTGGCTTTATGGTACTTTACAGCAGCTGCCACCCACTTACCATATCCATAGACATAACCTGTAGACAGGAGGCTACAGTTGAAAAGGCTATGATTGCTAGTGTTTTTTATGTAGATGCTGTCTTTCCTCTCTGCCATAGCTGTTGATCCCACCAGCCATGAATCAGTCTCTTACATTAAGTCACCATGTAGGTAGCAGAATTCGCAGTTTTCCACCAAAATTGTTATATGTCAGATTATTCTGAACTTAAGTGGACTTGCTTTGTGACTCCTGGTTAATCTTTTCCTGTCAAAGTGTAAATATTCATCACTTCTTATACAAAATATATGGGCAGTAGTGAATAATTAGTGTTTTTTTCCATAAGAACTGTTGGCCATTGTAAGACTGCTTTGTCCTAGAAGTGGTGGTGTTTATAATACTGCTTTGCCCCAGAAGTGGCAGTTGTGCATATTCTGTACTTGAAAGCAAAATTGCAGTGCCAGTGATTTGAACATAAACCAAATATGTACAGATTTTTTCTTTCAGAGGAGCTGTAAGGCCCTGTATACATAAAACAGAACATTTCTTTGGAAACAGGCTGCTGGCTCAGGGAATGTAACATATCTAAATGAAAGGATGCCTGAATTTGTGCTAAAGAATAAGGCACTGGAAGACTCAGAAAAGCATGTCTCTGCCCTGTTTGTCTAAACATTGAAGGGTTGGTTTAACTTTGATTTTGTGGAAGCTATCCTGTTTTGAGATAGTTTTCAAATGTCAGGCAGTTTGATTAAATACACTGATTGTCTGTGCAGGCAGCACAGCATATTCTGTCCAGCTGAAGTGTGGAGTGTGTGTCTCTCTCATGGTACAGTATTGAAACCTGAAGAATAATGAATTACAGATAAATTCAGCTTCGTAGCATTAATTATTGATTATTGGTATTTGGCAGTGGAAATCCTGACTGCTCGGCAGAAGAAAGCAGAAGAGCTGAAGAGGCTGACGGACCTAGCCAGTCAGATGGCTGAAGCACAACTGTCTGAACTCAGGGCTGAAATTAAGGTCAGGCATTCACTTTTTCTCAAGCATGTGAGCTGTCTGCACAAAAGCAAGGAAAGTGCTATCATGCTAACATGTCCAGGCTGCTCATTCCTCCTGTGGACCAGAGGGTAACTAGCTTTCTGTGGGGAAGTCATACCTTATTAAAGAATTAAAGGGCCTCTGAGCAATCTGGATATGCTATCAGAGAAGTGTAAGCTATCCCTTCAGAGGCAGAGCAGTGGGGAGTTTTGCTATTTGTGTATCATTTATCAGACCCAGTTCACAAGTAAACCTGATAGCTTCAGGTTGAATTGATCAAATGCACGCGCCCCAGTGGAGTGACCCACTTCCAAAACACGGGACAGATCCACCTACCACTGGGCTGTGAGAAGTGTTGTTTGGTAAGGATGTAAAAATTTTTGATTCTGCATAAAGATCCTGCCAGCAGGACAGTGTCAGGAGATTGCACAGCCTTAAAGCGGACTTAAGATAAGTATTGGTTGGTCTCTTGACCATCTATATAGTCTTCCAATCAGAATGCCAATTACCCCTAATTTGTCTGTATTTCTGCAGCACTTTGTGAGTGAACGGAAATATGATGAAGAGCTAGGCAGGTCTGCCCGATTTTCCTGTGACACAGAACAGCTGAAGACCCAAATTCAGCTCTGTGGAGAGAGTAAGTGTTGGTGGTTTATCATACCTACGATCTCAGAACGTAGCGTTCCAAATACTTGTCCAGGAAATGCTGGGCAGAGGTAATGGTATGTCTGTTGCCGAGTGAGTGTAGCAAGTCTGATGTGAATGGTACCTCAACACAGGAGGTTTGTTGAGCAGGCACACATTGCTTTTACAATTTACACCATACTATACACAGTGTACATGTGTTGCACAGACCATCTGCGTGTGTACAGTTGCCTTCTTTGTCAGAGATTTTCAGATATTACTGAGGTCAGTTGGAGTTTTCCATCCAAATGAAAAGTCAACTGTAGAGAACTCTCAAATTCAATAGCCACTTATGAATAATTAGTAAATTGGAAACTTCTTTGTGTGAGCATAGTATTATGAGATCAGTTAATCTGTCTCCTGCTCGGAAGCAAGTTCCCATCTGTACAAGAATATTCAGTGGGTTTTTCAGGAGCAAAAGTAATCCCAAATACTACTTTTATGAAATCATCTGCCTTTCTGCTTGGAAATTTGTATTCATCTTCTGCTCCATATATCATGTTCCTGATGTAAAATGTGAAATAGACTCTTTCTCATATTTGTCAAGCTTTTATCCTCCCCAAAAAGTAAATGCTATGATGCTTTGCTCCATGTCATCCTGCTGTATGGTATTCCATCAGCACCATCAATCAGGAGAAAAGCTATTAACACAATACCAAACTAGTGCATTTTGGTGAAAGGAAAATTTTAGGGATGAAATAAGTAGTGTTTCTAGTGTTTCCATTTCAATGCACTGATGAAAACATACATACAGTCCTTCTTAATGCAGGAAATTAATTATTTGTACCTCATCGTAGCAGAGCATTGTTTAAGCATATTCAGATATAGGCCTGTAGAAATCAAATCAATGAAGTTCAAAGAACAGTTGTTAGCAGGGAAGCAGTGCCATCTTTCAGTTGACAGAGAGAGAACTGGGTGACTGGAGATCCTCTAATCTGCTCTTAGTGATCTTAGAAGAGATAACTTAAATGCTATTCGCATGTCTTTGCTGGGGGCAAAGAGGTACAAAACTAATTGGACTGACATTTATCCAGAATGCTTGATGGTGGATTGTGCATCTTTTCTTTTAAGAATATGTTTTTATATCAAGCACTTCAGTTTTTATATGGGCTTCTGTGTAAGGCAGTCTATTTTAGGGAAGAGAGAGCAATAGCATTCAGTAACAGCATACCTTACAGAACTTGTGACAGAAAGTGCAGTTTCTTGTGCAGGTCATTGCATTGTCCTTGTAAAGAAGACACCTAGTGGGAGAATCTCTGATGTTAGCTTAAGTTAGTAGGAGCCTCAAAAAGCCACCCAACAAAACAGCACATGATGCTCAGTTGCTAAAATTACTCCGTGTCTTTCTTCTCTGTCCTAAAAGTTGAAAAATTGAAGTACCTATTAGATAAAAGAAAGGTGTCTTTTTCTAGTTCGTCATCTGTGCCAGAAGAAAACAGAGAAATTACATAATCAGGAAAATCAAAACCACAAATTAAGATCAAGATGTTTACTTCAGTAGCCTCAGGCTCCTTTTTGAGGCACCATTGCACAGAAGCAAACAGCTCAAAGAGCTTGTGGAAATGCAGAGAGGTAGGAATCAAAGGTTTGTTTGGTGTACTTCACATTCATATATGGAATTGCTTAAGAAATCTTCTGATTTTAAAATACTAAGAGGTAGAAAGCAGGAGTATACTAAGATGAACACTAACTGGTTCTTGATAGTGCTGACTTTGCCATGGTCTGCATGAAAGGGACTGGTGTATGAATTCGGTTCCTGTTTGATCGATAGCCATGGTACAGAAGTATCTTTCTTAACCATTTCTTTGGAGAGTCTATTGCTCTTTACTATCTTTTCTTTTTTGAAAACTATTAAAAAATACTGAAGAAGCTTTTGTAGCTGTTAGTCGAGTTGTGGTTGGTATGTATGTAAACTGCAAGCTCCACGCTCTTCAGCTTCCATGATCAGTGAATGATTTGGAATCAGATTTTTATATGGCATCTTCAGGCACGACTTCCTTTGACCTCAGGCATTAGAGAGTTACTGTCATTCCATTTTCTTCCTTCCTGTGTTTCTTCCTTTGTTGCCTGAAGACTCCTATTGGAGGCATTATTGATAGAACAGTGGTGTGAGGGGGCAGTCCTGACAACACGAGGATTTACCTTAGCTGGTTATAATTTCACAAGCTAACCCATAGGTACCAGGAATTTTGAGAAGTTTTCTCGGACAACCAAAGCCCAAGGCTGACAGTCTTGGCAGAAAGCAGGGCTTTCATGCTTACTGTTGGTGAAAAAGTTTGATGAACTACAGTGTTTTCTACTTTAGTGAAATAGGCAATGGGTCTATTTTAGCTGTTTGCTTTGTGGGCTTTGAAACAATTCTGACTTTTGCACAGCACATATTTTTTTATTCTTAAATAGTGCTAAACCAACTTGCAGTCTCAAAAGCTCCCAGGTGTAATCACAAGCTGAAATGTCTTCTAGCTAGCAAGGTAGCTCTCTAGGGTCTCCTTATCCTGGTCAATCTTCAGGTAGCTGCACCAAGGAAAATAATTTCTCCCATTTACAATACAGATGGACGAAGAAGTATAACCCATAGCACAAGCACGAGTACCCCGGATCCAGGGTGTTCTGGCCTTCTGCCAGTCTCATTCCAGTTTTTAGTGCACTTCCTCCACGTGGGTTTTTTTGTCAAAAGCAATCCTTAATGATGAGGCAGTGTCAAAGAAGTAAAACAATATGATTTAATTCTGATCTAGTTATCTAGCTTACTTCATTATCTAAAGACTTGAATCATGCTACAAAAATTAACTGTGAGCAGGGTAACAATTCAGCCTCAGATATTGATCATTTAACAGGTAATAGAGAATACTTCTTTTATTTTTATAGTTTCTCACCCAAAGAACAATTATTCCTCAAGAACACCATGTAGTTCGGTGCTGTCTTCATTGACCTCGCATGCAACAACTGGCAAACAAAATGCACACACTCGGAAGTCCTCTAGCAATGCCAAGAACTCTGATAATAAAACAGCCAGCACTACTAAAGTACAAAGTCATCATTCTTCCAATCCTACAGAATCTTCTCCCCAGGGAATTCCAACAAATAAGCAGGTAAGAAACGAGCTATAAACTGAACTAAATGGTGTCAAAAATATCAGGACAACTTTCATTATTGAAAGTTTTCACTGCAAAATCAAATACTTGTTTTTAGTCCATATTTAATTCACAATTTTAAAAGATGTGGAAAGGTTTACAGGCTGCTTAATGCAACGTATTAGCCATAGATCAGTCTTTGTGTTATATCAAAACTATTTCAATACTATTTTCTCTCTCTAGTTACACTGATAATGATTTTCTGCAATTTTTGTTAATTCCGGTGGCTGTATTTTATTACTGGAAGAATTCAGATAGCCTAACAATTATCCAATTTCTTTCTGGGTAGAATGGGCCTTCTAGTCAAAGACGAAGATTCAACCCACAGCACCAAAACGCCCGTCTCAATGGATCTCTTAAGCCACAAGGTGCCACTAACGAGGCAGATCAAAATAATGTAAGGAGTGGCTCCAGGTCTGAACACAGAAGACAGCAGCACAACAATTTCAGACCTAAAAATAAAGGAGCTATGAAAAATCAGGAGTCTGCAACTGCAAGGACCACAGAGAATGTGACGCATCCAGAAAAGAGCCGGCGGAAGCATCATGCACCAGACACCACAGATCACAGGCCTTTCCGAGGCGGTGTCAGCAGGGTGTCGCAATGCAATTTGTGCCCTGCAAGAATGGAGGTCTCTGCTGATACCACTGTTCTTTCAGTGCCAGCTGTGACTTTGGTGGCTTAAAATGTCACAGTGAAGGCAGGCAGAAAAATATTCTCATTTTATCTTCTTCCTCAAGATGCTTGTTGGTAAAGAAAATAAATCGGAACAGTCATTTTAAATCTGTTGCTGCTTAAAAGTTATTGGTATCTTCATTATTTACTAATTATCAAAATTAATGATACTTTCAAAGCTTTGCCCAATATGTTCACAGTTGTTTTGTCGTGACAATACAGAATCTTACCAAAGCAGCATATACTACTTAGAAGAATGAAATTAGATTGGAAAAATAAACTCAGAATTAAATTCACAATAGCAAAAGGTTTGTTGTAGATATGTGGTTATACAATCAACAGTATTGTTCTTTAGAACATCCTGTGTTAGACAGATCCCGGAGCACCTCTGTGCTGTGGTCTGCAATGCAATCAGATAATCTTTTAGAATTTTTCTGCAGTCTTTATTATACACCTCTTTATTTCTGTGCATGTATCTGTATGTGCATGTGTACGCACACATACATACATACACATGCATGCACACTGTATGCACACAGTATTGTTACATACAAGAACATTTCAAAAAGCAGCACATTTGATTTTAGCTTATTATTCCATAAACTGAGATCTTTAGACTTGCCTATAAATTGTACTGAATGTATTACATATTGGTATTTTTCATTGACAAACTATTTTTATGAAAATGCTCATTTCATTCAAGTTTAGAGTATACATAGTCATGGCTATTCAGATGCACAGCCCTATTCTCCATCCTTATCAGCCATTTTTCTATGACTAGTTGGATTTATTTTTTTGCATATGAAAAGTCACAGGTGTTCTAGACTTGAATCCAGATTATTTTTCTATATTTTTTGCTCTAGGAACCATCTGTCCTTAATGAGAGCTATGACTAATAAACTTGTTACAGCAACATGCAGCAGAATATGGAGATACATATTTGGGCAGATACTACATCCTTGTGAGTTTTCTATTAAAATAAAATCTTAGTGTTAATGTTCTGATTATGTATTTCAGAAAACTTGTTTCTTCCAAAAAAAATTAAAATCTTCTTTCTAAAACATTCTGTTGTTTGCTGCCTTGCAGTATCTAATCAGTTGTGATCATATTTGAACTAGATTTGCTTAGTTCAGCTGGTGTCAGTGGGAGGCTTTGGTTTGAGTTTGGCTTGGAATAGGCTTTTGCTTTTGGCTAAATTCCAATGCCACAAGTGCGCAGGACAGCATCAAGAGCTAATCTTGGATAAACCTATGTTAAAAGTTGTTATTGAAAATATTAAGGTATCAGAATAATCAGTAAAGAATCCAGGCCTGACATCAAGTGAACTAGAGGGCTGGGGGTCAGAATCAGAGAAATGTAAAAGGGTCTCTTTCCCAGTGAGGTCAGTAAGAGCTGGACACTTTGAACGTTTATTGTTGGTTATGGCTTTTTACCACTTACCTCTGCCTAATTTCCATGAGCTGACTACACGCTTTCTTTGTACTGAATTCCACTTTTGATTCATAAAGTATAAAGTGCATTGCCTATGAAGGATTTTGATTATTGCTCTTGATATCTGTACAATTTTCTACATGTGAATGATGGTAAAACCTGATTTTACAAGGCAAGTAGCTCATCTTCTTCTGGAATAGTGGTGATAAAATAAGTACTCATAGGTAAACATAGGCTTTTTTTAGCATTGTGGACCCTTCTCCTATCAGGCTTTTAGCTGAACGTTTTAAGTAAATGGAGCTGAAATTCCAGAATGTCTGTGCTGTGCACACCCACCAGAAAAGTCTATTTTCAAAATTTGCCATACTGCCATGCTGTAACTTCACAGTTAGAGATGTAATCACAATATCTGTATGGGTAGTACCCCAGAACAATATTATATTGCTTTTACATAATTTCTGAAAGTTACTTATACCTTTTCTTGTATCCCCTCTTAATAATATCTGATGTATTTATAATGACTTTTACTCCTGCCTTATAGCTTTTCCACTTAATAGGATTATTGGAAGAAGTTATTTTATTCTACAAGTCAGCTTCCTTACAAGCAGGCTTCCTCAAAACAAGTCAAATCTAACATAAATCATAACTCAGCACAACAGGATGACCTTGTGCTCTTCAGTACCAGCTTCTCTTTGCTGTGCTGGAGGCTTAGTACATGGCAGATCAGAACTAACAGGTGAGAGGAAGCATTTATCCTCAGGCTGTGAGGCAAACACACATTCTTGGATGAGAGATAAAAGTGTGGATTTGGCTGGTTCTGGGGACTCTGCAGTCTTGATGCAGCAAATGTGCTTTGGTATTGCAGTTACACATTGTAACTGTTACATGGCTGGCTCTGAAACATTGCTGTGTCAGATGTTTGAAAAAAAAAAAAAATCATTTAAACTACTTAAAGTCATTGGAAATGTTGCTCTAGAACTGAAACTATTAATTTTGGAAAGGATAAGTTTGTACTCTAGTTTGTATATTCCTTTCCTGGATCCTGCTGCTGTAGGAAAGCAACGTGGTCTGAGCTTGGATGGATGGATGGCATTTCCTGTGGTGAGTCTGTTTCCCCATGCAGTGACTGGGATGTATCAAAAGCAACTAAACAACCTGTACTAGAAATGTTTGTGGATGTTGTACCAGAAATTAGGATGAGCTAAGAGATGCACATAGGAAAGGGACGACTTTGAAAACGGTCTAATTATTGATGTGTGTGGTCCAGTGAATTTGCAAAGTATTACTCAGCTAAGTGATAAATGCTGTATAAGCAGGAAGATTTTATTTATTTACTTATTCCTGCAAAAGTAGTATTCTGTAGAAAGTACTCAGAAACTCAGAGAAGAGCAGAGGTCTGTAACACCAGCTGTGTCTGTTTCTGCTGCTTGACATTCTGCTAAAAGCTGTTGCTCAAAATGAATCTAGATCTCTTGGGGACATTTCCTCCACAGATTTACAGAGCTTTACTTCTAGCCACACTCTCACTCTAATTGCAGCTATGGAATAGACAGCTTCACTCTCAAGTTTTCAATGGTACAGCTTGCCTCCCGTTGTTGCTAAGTGAGAATTTGTCCTTCACAGATTGAGAATTAAACAGACAAAATCATCTTACCTCCTGGATAATGCTGCCATTTCTGTTTGGTCATACTAAGACTTGTACTACATAATGTTTATTATCTGAACATTTAAGTGGGTTTAAAGAAGTGAATGAACAGCTTGAAAGAAGGAAAGAGGTAGCTTCCTTAGGAGCAGTCAGTGTGTTTACAGTCGATACTGTCTTGAGAGAATCATCAGTTGTTTTACTTGCAAGGAACTTGAGCTATATTTCATACAGAAGCATCTCTGAATTAATGCCTAGTTCAGAGCTCATTTGACTGCGTTGTTTCCGTGGCTCTTAAGCTGAAAACGAGCCTGATGAAAAGTCTCTCTGAGAATCAGTGTTAACGTGCCCCTAGCAGATGAAACAACATCTGCTTGGTTATGGCAAGTATGAGTTCTCCATACTCTGAAGCATACAGATAGAATTACATCTGTTTGAAGCATATCCCGGTGATAATACGCACTTAATCATGGAGAAGTAATTTTCTGGAAATTAATTTGGAATTGCATTTTTCTACATTATGCCATATCATAGATGGTTTGGAAATAGTGTGAAAGTGAGGGCTAAACAACTGGAAAATTGACCGTGTTTGTGAGGGGAAAGAGAAAAGCATCAAAGTTCACTAGCGTGATGCACGTTACTCTTCAGAGCACAGCTATTAAATTGCTAGGGCAAAGAAGCTTTCTAACTGGTCTCTTTTATAACAATTGTACAAAGGTGCAAAACAAGCCATAATCACTTCAGTTGACTGTACCAGCTGGTAACTCTTTGAATTGGATGAGTGAAACATTAAGAAAACTGTGGACTTTGAAGAAACTTGGGATCGTACAGATTTGAGGAAAGTAGAACCTGCAAGAAACTCTCAGACTTGCAGAATTTCTGCTCTTTGTTCCAGGCCTCAAAAGAGCAGTCTGTTAGCCAGGTTAAGAGCTGACTAATCCTTGGATGGGCAAGTTTTCAGCTCTCTGCCTCCCAGGCAGAAGACTAAATGCTGTTTGATTTTATACTTTAAAAGGCTTTGGGTGGATATAGACAAAGCTGTAATAGTCATCTTGAAGGTTCAGCTCTTATAAAGCTGTTTAAAATCAGTCCATCCATTACAACAGATTGTTAACAAGCTTCACGGGATTAAAAATAAAAAGACAAAAGTGCTTATTTAAAAAGCCATGTTTGTTTCTCATCCAGTAAAAAAAATCAAGTCTCTAAATTTGCTCTACCTCCTCACCACAGCCACTTTCATTCACAATTTCATATGCTGAAATTAAAGGGAATGATTTTGTAATTTTTTTTTTTTAACTGCAAGTCAGTGTGTCTAGGACAAAGATGAGACTGAAGCCACTGGAATGCAAATGATATGAATGTTATGTGAAAAATACTACCAGAATGACTAGACAAGCCCTGAACTAGCACAGGCTTAGGAAGTCCAAAGGGATCAGTCTTAGTCTTATCTGCAAGAATCCAGACTTGTGAGCTTTTGTATGATGTTGAAAGAAGCCTACAAATTCACCCAAAGTTGAAGAGGAATCATTGTAAGAGGACCTAAATGGATACAGTAAAGGGCTCAGCTGTTCACTAAGTTCTAAAATAAAAGTCACACAGAAAGTAGTTATTTAAAAACTGCTTTTCAATCAGACTGGTATACATTGTGTCAATGAATTGCACGCTCACTAAAATGAAACTTGTTATTTATCTCCCTTAATTTCTGCTTTTTCTGGTCTCAAGTGAATCTCTTCTGTGGGATGGGGAGAGCCTTGGCTTTTCTGTGGCTTTTTAGGCTTATTACAGTAGTGTAAGGATTTTAAAGATAGGCTGGTCTTTACTATACGTGTAAATAGTAGAAAATTGCAATACTGCTCAGCTTTACATAACTATAATTCATAGCAAAAAACATCTCTTCAAACAGTATGTTAGTACTTGAAATTTTGCTGTTTCTCTTTTCTACTTTGCAAATGAAATTTCAAGTCCTTGCAGTTACGACAAAAAGCCTAAAAATGTGATTTCTTCTAAATAACCTAGAAAACAAAAGACTTTAAGAAGCAAATTGTAAGAATACTTCATTTTGGCAATGCGATAGGACTTTGCAACATCTAAAGCCAGGTGTATTTACTGTGTTGCAAAATTATTAGCAACAACAAAGCAGTACCCAGCCATACACAAACAATTGCACAAAATGAAGCCAAATGTGGGGAACTTAAACAGCATTGGTTTAAACATATCCAATTTAAACCAAGTCCAAAAGGACTTCTTAAAAAGTGAGCCAAATTCTGCTTTTCTTTGCTAGTAGAAACATACAGGAGCTCTTCAGTATCGTTGCTTGTAATGCACCCTAGTACAAGGGAGGACAAGAAGGACAAGTAGGAAACTAGTGTACATGTCTCAGGTCTAAGGAAAAACTGCCTTATTCCCTAGTCATGCTCTTCCTTCCTGTTTATCAGTTTTCTATATGTAAAGATGGTCCCTTTAATTGCTACCAATAATAAAATGGTAACTTCTCCTCACTGCAAGTACCAGTATTTGTGCATTCAGCTTAAAATAAAGTCTTTACAGTACTCTGTATATTGCACACTTGTGACAAATTTGAATCTAATAACTGGTATTCATTGTTACTATTTTTCCCCTACTTGAAATATATGGATTAAGGAAATTAACTGTAACTGAATTTGATAAGCTGTTGTCTTCTGTGCTGTGCATGTATTCCTTTTAAAAGGCCAGTAGTACAGCCTGACACAAATATGAATGAGACACCATAATATTGAGCATGCTGTGTGTTTTAGAGTTTTTTTAGCCATGTTTCTTCCTCCCAACTTCTAAAAAGTACTTAGAAATAAAATCAGAAAATACACTTCATTTCTCCCTCTGCTCTTCACTAACTCTTCACTATCTTCACCGTGATTTCCTACCAAATCCTTGAATAACTAACAATATGAGATGATGAGCTGTTCTTAGGCCAGATGTTCCCAAGCTACACAGCCTATCAGGCTGAGTCCAATGTTATCCATCCACTTTATTACTCTTAAGCTTGTTGCTCTCTGCTAACGCAGCTGGTTCTTTCTTGTTTAGTACTGTTGAAGTAGTAGGAATTTCAGCAGCAGCTTTGTCCTGTTCACTTGTTTTACTGGACACAGATGATGACTGAGAAGGTGTCATGAGAAACAGTGGAGTTCGCTTCAGCTTTACTGCACGGCTGCGTATGGGTTTTCTAGGCGCTGAGGTGTTGAAAGTCATTTGACATGGTGCTTCATCATCAGCACTCTGCTTTCCATGGGGCACCTGGGAATTGCTGGGCTCTGGCTTGCATGCTGTGGACACAGAAGCTGCTTTGTGCAGTATCAAACTTTCACTATTTGGTCGTTTAAGAGTTACTGCAGAATGTGAAGTGTTGCAAGCAGCTACCTTTAATGAAGCTGAATTCTTGACTTTGATATGTGTACTTGTTGAAGGACCTGAGAATCTAATTGGCTTGGGGCCCACTTTGCATGGTATGTAGTCTTCCACTTCAGAGAAATCAATTAAGCGTCTGTAAAACAAAGGATCTTAATTGAAGAAACAAACTATGTATTTGAGTTATTTTTTTTATAGTTACAAAATCAGCAATGCACAAATCTACTGTTCTATTAATTTTTGCTGGTTATCACATATTGTTCTCAACTGTTGATCACAGCAGTCAGGCTTGCCTTTGCATCAATAATACAGCAATCTCTTCTACCGCTGTAAGTCATGTTACATGCTAAAATTGGTAAGAAATGGTGCACAAACTGCTGTTTGAAAATGAGGAAGAAGGCAGGAGGAGTTACAGAAAGAAAATATTGAAGTACTACAGTTTTCACCAAATAGAAAATTCAGTAACAGTTAATCAGATATGTTTTGAGTTATCTACCAAAGTGTCAAGATCCAATTGCACAGAAACAAAATACTTATAGTTCTACATTATGTAATTTGAGAAAAGAAGAATATCCCTTTCTCCCTTCCCCCTCCCTTTCTAAATAATTAAAGATAACCCGTTTTGGAAAAAAAAAATAAAATAAATCTGTGTAAGAAAGCCTGTAGAATCTCATGGCAACTCTAACTGTCTAAAGTAGAGAGTAATTTTTAAGTAACTCAGAGAACCATTAAAGAACAGAGTAAGGGACACTACTAAAGCACTGACATTCTTCAGGATGCTTGCATTTTGGATTTCAAAAGATTAAATGCCACAGGAATCCATATCAAGAGAGAAAAAATGTAAAAGTGTAATATTTCTTATCATTACTCTTAGAAAAGTGGTAGAAGGTGACACTTCAAGCAGAAAGCCTGCAAATAACTGAGTGCTCATAATGAATCTAGGAAGATTTTCCTCAGAGCTCTAAGGTAAGAATGTATTCTTGAAATCTGTACATCCTAGACCAAAAGAACCATTAGAACAAAAAGGAAAATTTAAGCATTCAAAGACTGGGTGTTTTAACAGCTGCAGTGTAGTACAGGTAAAATGTAATCAGTAACTAGATTAATTTACAATAATATTTCAAGATGGTATATGCTCTCACAAGGATTACTGCAGGTAATTAATACAGCTCTTTGGGTACAGAAAAAATAGAGAAGACAAAGCAGAGAAATGGGAGATAAAAAGCAAAGGTTGCAGTGGAGCATTCAGGAATATATGTGTTTGGCAGTCAGTCCAGTGGTCATGCTTCTTCCTTAATGAGCTATGAAAAGCAAAGAATACAGTATCCCAAAATGATGGGGAGATGGGGATTTTCAGTTGGATCACTGTGCTGTCATGGCTCTGTGGCTGCTGCTGAAATGACAGCATGGCCAGAGAGACAAGGTAAGCAGGATCCTCCTCCTTAGATAGCAGGAAGATGCTGTTGAGTGGCTCAGGTAAGTGTAGATGCATCTGCGAATGCTGCTTTTAGGTAATGTATTGCAAATGGAAGTGTTGTCAGAAGTATGACCACAGAACTGGAAAGAAAATATTCTAGTGTAAAAGTAGAGCTTTTTAGAAACATGAAAATCACCTAATCTTTTCAAATTTTCAATTAGCTAGTCCATTTAGCTAATGCTGTTCTCTACTTTCTGAAATGACTCATTTCCACCCTCACATGATGCTGTAAAGGCTGTAGAATAGAATTTCAGCAGCCTAGAAAAGGTAATTTCCTTATATCAAGGTCAGTTCTGCTTATGAGCTCTCAGTGAATATGTTACATGAAAATGTTAAGAGGAACAACTAAGAAAACTATTCAAAGAACCTGAAACTACACACATACACACACACACAAAATGTTTGTGCTGTTTTCCATTGCATGCTAAGCCACCTATGCAGGTCGCCATACCTTTTATGAACTGGAGGCATATGATGCAAACTGCCTTTCAGAGAACGCTCTTCAAGAGTCCAGCATTCGATGAGCTCCTGCGGCACTCTCCAGTAGCTGACACCTGCATTTCAAAGAGACATTGTATCACTGATTGTATCACTGAGCTGAGAGAACACGGTATTGTGTGTACCTCCCCCAGATTAAATGAAGGCATGTATTTTATTGTGCAGAATTTCAGCTTTGAAACTATGCTGACAAGTAACCTGTGCTTACAGCCAGCATGCCTTTAGGGTTTCCACCAGAGTGCTCAGGGTCTCCATCACCTCTTGCATGCAATGTTTCTCACTACGTCTATTCATGTATGTTAGCTCACATCTGCTCATTAGAACATCAATCAAGACTTTTTGTGTTTTCCCTTCAAATAACTGCTCTATTGGAGTTTGTATGTGTCACATACTGAATTAGTGGAAACACCCACGGATTTTATTATTGTATAGTTATTTGGCATTTTTTTTTTTTTTTTTTTCTGTAGAAAAATACTAAAATAGAAGCAAAGAATTAATACTGTACCTCTTCCTTCCCAGGTGCCGAAAGCATCCATCATCTTTTTCAGTTCAGCTTCAGAGTAATAGCTCCAGATGTATTGGACATTATTTCCAGCTTCTCTAGAAACATTGTTTGCAAGGTAAACATGTTACCTTGTTACAAGTTACAAGTTGTTACAAGTTACATGGTAAATCTACCTAGGATCCAAAAATTTAACACTGATGAAGTAGTGTTACAGCTATTATTCTTCTACCAAATTCCAACTATGAAAGGACCTCGTAGTGAATGTTTTGTAAAGTGGGTAAAAAAAAGTTACTTAGATTTCATTGTCATTTCTATCAGAGATCCAAATTGCCACTCCCTACTGTCTGCACACCTGTGAATGCCTGTTGCTGGAAAAGCTATTCAGGAAAGAACAGATGTCCATGAAAAACATAATTACAGAACTAATGGTGTAAAATTTATTCTTCTAACTACATATTTTCAAAGGGAAAACACAGTAGGACAAATACCTGAATTACTATGTATCCAAAACATCTCAGAGTAGATATTCATTTTCCCAGCGTAAATTTAGGAGAATATGTATCTTAATTATAAACATGATGCAATATCAAAAGCTCTAAATAATTTTTCAGTGAATTACACTTCTGATTCTGTACGGTGGGACCAAGGGAAAGACAAACAGCTTCCAGGCACTTGGAAGAACTACAGGTCTACTAATATCTTAAAATTTCTACTGTAAAATGCATTCATATTTGTTGAAATGTACACATCCTTTAAAGAATTTAAATCATTATTTCATCTTCAGAAAGGCTGCGTTTAATATTTTTAACTGCTGTCATAGCAGACTACAAAATAGAACCCCTTAAATCACTGCCAGCTTTGTGAATATTTGGGGGGACATTTTCAGGATTCAGTGATGATTCTTGGTGTAAATATCACTGATAACACTTGATGTAATCATCATCCTAAGTTATAATTGTAAATGGTTGAGATATTTTAAAAATGGCAACTGAGATCTTAGAGCAATTGCATGCCAGTGACCTTCTGTAGATCTCTTGAATTCTTTTCCGTTGTGCTTAGTCTTTATTTTGTTAAATCTGAATATTATATTAGCTGGGTGTTTTCAAAGCAGGAAATAATCTCATTCCTGCCAGTGATTTATAGTGTAATAATGCTATATTAGCCAAATAAAATAATATTTAGGTATTATTATGATATGGAAGTCTTCATAGTCTTCCCATAGTGCTTTCATGAGTTTGAAAGTCAGCTTACCTTTTGTAGATACTTTTACTGTGAATTTTTGTTCCTAGCTCCTTTTTAATTGCATCAGTCCCATCAGCCCTTGTGGCATACACACCAATAATTTTACTCTCACAGCTTGCCCCAGAAGTGCCAAGATAGTGCAGGACCCAAACTGTAGGCTTGGTGCAGATTAAATTATAAGAATCACAGAAATCCAACAAAGCCTGGAAAAAAAAATAAAACAAAGAAGCAAAAATATTAATACTAATTAAGTTCAGTGTTATAAGCTTTCATTCTGAAATTTTCTTAACTGTACTGGTGACCTCTTTTAAGTATATCAAGGATGTAGTTTATCTAGACTATTGTGAGCACTATATCTTATCGGATGATAGCAGAGAATGTCCTCCAAGTAGGAGAAATGCACAGACAGGCAACAGGAATACTTGAAGATGGCCCCGTTTTAAAAAAACCTCAAAAGTCTGGAACTGCTTTATGCTTTTCAAAAGAAGAATAAGGGAGAAACTAAAGAACTACAGAGAACTATACAATGTCTTTCCTACTACACAAGTTTTCAAAGCAGACTTGCACATAAGAGTCAACTTTAAACTGCTTCTGTAATGTAGTGGTGGAAAAGTTGAGTACTTGATAGCTATGACTGTGTTATCAGTTCTAGAATTTCTTATCCTAAATCTCAGAATTATTTGAAGAGGTAAAAAAAAAAAAAAAAAAAAAAAAAAAAAAAAAAAAAAAAAAAAAAAGTGCTAACTTATACACGCATAGTTTTAGTATCTGCTGCTAACAAATGGTGTGATACATCTTTAGAAGAGTGCATCTTTTAAAATATAAGAAATATACTGACCTTCTTAAGCTCTACATTTGACCTTAAAGAATATGTCTCCATTTCATTGGCCAAATGGTCAGACAGACTGTATGGATAAGGGATGCCAAAATAATCTGCTTCCTCCTGCAATGCAATTTGAATCTGTTTATCCTCAGGAATCCGAACTTCTCCATGAAGATAATCCAAAAGATATTTAAACAAACTTCCATCTCGATCAATCAGACAGGCTCCTGAAAACATACACATAATGAACTTAAGATGCTGCTTCTAAGATTTCTCAATTATACCAAATCATCAAGTAAAGCTTTTGTATGAAACTTACTCTCTTTACTTATGTAGGAGAAGTAAGTAAGTATATTTTTTCTGTTATTTTAAAACTGCTACTTTGTTTCCATGGAATAATAGTTATTTGAAGATAAAACTCATAGTGAAGAATTTTTTGCTTGTTTGGAATGTCGGTGATATCACTGATGTGCACAGGACCATGCCAGTATAAATCTCAGCTAAGTGCTTAAATGCTAAAATCTTATTCTAGGAGCATTTCTAGAATTTTTATTTATTTATTTATTGCTATTGGAGAGATTTTTTTTTCAATTTTGGATCTAGGTGTAAAAAGTAGCACCAGTTTTTGTATGTATCCAGCCTCAACTAATCTGGATCTTGCTTAAGTTTTACAATTCTGTTTGTTTCTTTCTCTCTTTTGATGCTGGGCTCAATGGCCACAAAATAGCCACTCAAGCTGTACACTGCTGTTTATAATATGCTACTCACTGCAGCTGAAGGATGATAGTAAAACCCTGCTTTTAAAAAGTTTCAAGCATTTCAGATATTTTAAACTGCCAGAAGTGGGCAACAAGAAGTCACTACTGTCCATCCAGCATAGTTTTAGAACTGGGCATACTTTGGCAGTCACTTCCAAGTCACAAACAGGGGTGAAATCTGACTCATTAAAAGTTTTATTCAAGTTTTCATATCAAACCATGCTGGCCAAAAATGCTATCTTTAATGGGTACTGAGGCATTCTGAAACAAAGATAAAACCTCAATCTCCCTACATAATGAGCAGTCGGAGTCGGATTGGGAGAATATAGGAAGGCATAAATAGGACCCAAGTTAACACTCATACTGTAATAGTGTATTCGTCAATTTTGATTGCAGCAAAGCAGGGCTAAGTGCTGTACAAACATGTATGTTTGCAAACAGAAATGTCCTGTGGAATTCTGATGAAGTACTCATAAGTCATGCACGCATAATTCATGTATTCAAGAAGCTCAGCAAGTTGGAAGAAAAGAGACGCAATAAAGTGGATACGTAAAAGCATGTATTTACCACAGAGCTCCCTAGGCGGAATGTTTTAGGTGCAGCTTTAACATATTTACCAGACTCATCCATTTTTAGAGGAAAACGTCCACTAAACATAGAAGCTAGCATGGAGTCCTTAAAGCGGCACAGGGACTGGCGCCTGGCGGTGTACAGACATCCTCGCACGTTCAGCCGTAGGATGCCCTGCTCCTCTGCAGCCTTGTCCTCTTCCATCGCATTTGCAAATGAGATGTTAATTACGAGCTATTCTACACTGTAACAGATACAAAGAAGTGTCAGTCTAATGCCAAGGCCGAAATATTGCACAGAGATCCAAGCATTAGCTCAGCTAACACGCCTGTTGCATAGTACTGTAATCAGAATCACAAAATTCGAAATGGTGCTTACACCTTCACTGTAAACAACGATGACATTTATTTTGCCGGAAAACATGCAGTTACTCTTTTGAGGCATACGAGGGGGCAGATTTGTGGTTAGTACGTGTGAAAGACGCGCTAGAAGGACAGCAACAAAACGCATCCTAGGAACTCTCGGAGAGCCGCCCCGCGCAGGCCCGTGCGCTCCCTCCTGCGCCGGAGCCGCTCCGCGGGAGAGGCACAGCCCACCCAGCCCTCCGCAGCCGCGGGCGCGCACACGCCGGGACGGCGCCTTCCAGCCGCGCGCGGGGCGGCCGCCATCGCGCGTTACCTGCGCCGCCGCCTCCCCGCGGCCGGAGCGGGCCGGGCGCCTCCGGGCCTCCTCGGCTCCGCAAAATGGCGGCAGGAAGGGCCGGGCCGGGGACGTGCGAGCGGAGCCACCGCGGCATCTCCCGACCGGGGGCACCGCCGGCAGCCCCGACCCGAGCCCGCAGGCAGCAGGCGGCCCGCCGGGCGCGGCTTCGGTGCCTTCGTCCTCCGAAGGGAGGCGTGCATGCGTAAACTCGGCTGCTCTGTAAGGCAGAAACCTTTTTTCTTTTTTCTTTTTTTTTTTTTAAATCTTAGAGCACGTTGTTAACGCTTTAATATATTTCAAACATCCTGGACAAGTGCAGACTGCTAGGTGCTTCCCGTGCACTCTCACGCGCAACAGCTTAGAGAGTGCCCTGCTCGAAGCGGTTCATGGCTGTGGTGCAGTTGCTTGCTGACCGAAATTCTGCATGAACAGACAAACAGTGTCAGGTTCTCATGATAAGAGCCTGATATTTGTAAATGCCAAATTAATAATTGTACAAAATGTTGTAGTGCCAAACTGCTGGTTTCCACAAACTTTCTGGAAAGTACTCGAGCTGCCTGTATGTGTAGAAAAGAGATAAAACCTAGAACATTAATGATTCTCCTAATTGGGACCCGAAGCCCATTAAGAATGCAGTTAGCTTCCCACTGCACATGCAGGAACACACCCATATCATTTTTAAGCTTTGAGAGCTGTTATCACAGTTCTGTCTTTCCCTCACTTTCCCTCTCATCCCTACTCAGTTTAAAGGCTGATAATGGGATCTCAAGTGATTGCAAACCAGACTCCTTCCCTATTTAGTGCATGCAGAATGTAAAGCCTCCCAGCCTTTTAGGCTCTTCCCCCCTTTAAGCAGCTGGTAGCTGAGGATTGTTCACTTGTGAAAAGTTCCTCAGCTGAATGCAAAGGAAAGTAGCACCCAGGTGCTAACACAACACTTATTTTGCTGATTATCAGCAGTTGTGACATAAACGTTAGCTGGAGGCAGATTGGGGATTGCTCCCTCAGGAGATGGGACTGCTGTAAAAGTGAAGGAAATGAAATCTCATGACTGGAGCTGGGTGAAAATACTGCCTGCTTGACAGCAGAGGGAGGTGAGTCACAGTAACTTGTCTGACTTTTTGTTGTTACAGTTGCATGATGTTGTTCTGTTATTTTCTCAGAATTTACAGTGGCTGCAGTTACTCGAAGCTGCTTTGTGAGGGGAAACATACCACAGGTATGTAAGGTGCGCTGGGTCAAGTCTGTGTTTTAAAAGGATTGTGTAGAAGCATGAGGTTATGCAGCTTCAGGACCACGCTGAGAAACTGTGCCAAATCTCATTTGGAAATGAGGGGGAAAAAATGCATGGTTTATTATTGTTATTACAGTTTCACCTTTCCATCTCTCTGTAAACTTTCAAATAAATGAAAACAGTAACTTTTTCCCCCCTTTTCTCCTTTTCCCCCAAAACTGTTTACTATGTATCTATTAATGCTTAGGCCAACTGCAGCAATCAGTGTGTCTGCCTGAACTGACGGTAGAACTAGGCTCACGTGGGGGAAGAGAATGCGTGTGAGGGAATATTAAAGCATGTGGGCTGTGCCTTTGGGATCAGAGCAGACTTTGGAGGAAAGCATCTTGCTGGGCTCAAGTACTTTCTTCCATCTGCCAAACCTAACTGCCTGAAATGGATGAGATGAGCCTTGCTCCAGTTGTAACACGGGAGCCTCCTATATGTGCAAGGAGTGTGCACACTCAGTGTCATCTTTCGTTTGCAAATTTGTTGATGTCGCTTTGATAACTGCCTTGATACTTGGGTTGTTGCTTCTTCTATTGCAACTCCTTTTAAAGGGACTATTTCACCAAAAAAAAAAAAAAAAACAAACAAACAAAAAAAAAACACCTATACGTAAAGGCCTTTCTTGTATGAAACGCTACTCTGTAATGCAAAGGCTGGCATTTCAAGATCTAATGTAATTCTTTGCTTCAAAACAAAAAGCTGTGACGGGCAGGAACCATCCCGGCAGCGCCGTTTGTGCTGCAAATGTGCTCCATTCGCCCACAGTCAGATCGCGGAGGCTGCCTGCTTTCCTGAACTGACTGCCTCAGCCCGCGGGCGCGAGGGCGGGAGCGAGGGTTACCCGCCGACGGCCGTTGGGCTCGCGCAGCCGTTGGCCGCCCCTGAGGCGAGGCGGGAGCGCTGCCCCCCGGCGGCGAGGACGAGGGCGGCTGAGGGCAGGGCGGCGCGGCGGGACGCGCCTCCTCGGAGCCGCTTGCGGAGAATCGTTCGCTGCTCCGACGGACTTCGCAGCCTGGTCTTTCTTGCTGTGTGCTTCGGTACTTACCACCCGTAAGGCGCTTTATTTAAAAAACTTACTTCTAAAATTTGGCCTGAAGAAGCTGATTCGGTTGCACTGTCAAGTGATGTAAACTTTTGTTTTTTTCATCTCTCCCCTGCCCCCTTCACTTTTAAGGGTAGATCTGAAGAGGTAACTTGATGGAATATATGAAGGTAAAATCTCTCATCCTTGTAGTCTTCATATTTGTTAGTAAAATATGATAATGTGACCTAAATCTTGGATAATCTCCTCATAAAGAGATAATGCGGCCTAAGCTCAAAATTTGTGAGCGAAATCATGTGTCATTTGCAGATTCCTCTTGCCAGTGTGCATTCCACCTGACAAGGTTCTTTTTGATGATGGATAAACAAGCAACTGCTAAATTATCCACTGCTTTTTCTTCGGGTGCTGTCAGAGGACACAGGAAGAGGGACAGAGCGTTACAAACTGCAAAACTGAACGCTTCTTTGGCATCTAAAATCAAATCTAAATTAATAAGTAAGTCCTGTGAAGCCTTTTACTGTGCTTAGAACTTAGAATGTTGCTTAGAACTTAGAATGTTGCTTAGAA